TCCTCTTCCTCCTCTCCTTTTCTGCTCCTCCTTCTTCTTTCCTCTCCTCTCTTTTTCTCCTTCTCCTTATCTTCTCCTCCTTCTCTTCCTCCTCCTCCTCCTCCTCTCCTTTCCTCCTTTCCTCCTTCTCCTTTTCTCTTCCTCCTCCTCCCCTCCCCTCTCCTTTTCTCCTCCTCCTTCTCCTCCTCCAAATCCCATTCCTTTCTGGCGAAGAGACTAGCACTGTGGATGTTACCTACTTTGGGTAATGAAACATCTGTAAAAAAAAAAACCAACCAAGCTAACAGAACATCAAGGACCCCTCCTAGGTAGCATGAAAGAAACTATTCATATTTTTTAAACTCTGTCCTTGTTCTTGAACCTGACATTAGCTTTCGCCTTGTTGCTTCCCCGTCTCGTTTTGGAATTCGACTGGGAGGGAATTTATCTAGTACCCCATCTAGCTTCGTTTCTGAGAAGCCAACCATGTTGGATTGAGATGTTGCCTTTTTTTGCCCCCCTTTTGCGTTGCAGATTAAGGCCGGTTGATGTGGAATTCATGAAGGCGCTCCATGAAAAAGTGAATATTGTTCCCCTCATTGCGAAAGCCGACTGCCTTGTTCCCTCTGAGATCAAGAAGCTAAAAGAACGGGTGGGCAGAAAAATTGCTTATTTCCAAGGGTTTTTAAAATTTATTTATTTTATTTATTTATGTCCCGCCTTATATGATTTGTATAAAGAACTCAAGGTGGCAAACTTACTAATATTCCTTCCTCCTCTTATTTTCCCCACAACAACAGCCCTGTGAGGTGGGCTGGGCTGAAAAAGAGGAATTGGCGGAAAGTCACCCAGTTGGCTTTCATGTCCAAGGCGGAATTAGAACTCGGCGTCTCCTGGTGATTGGCCCAAACTCACCCAGTTAGCTTTCATGCCTAAGGCAGGACTAGAACTCTCAGTCTCCTGGTGATTGGCCCAAAGTCACCCACCTGGATTTTATGGCTAAGGTGGGACTAGAACTCACCATCTCCTAGTGATTGTACCCAGCTGGCTTTCATGCCTTAGTCAGGACTACAACTCCCAGTGTCTTGCTGATTGGCCCAAAGCCATCCAGATGGCTTACATGCCTTAGCCAGGACTACAACTCCCAAAGTCACTCAGCTGGTTTTTATGTCCAAGACTGGACTGGAACATACTGTCTCCTGGTTTCTAGTCTGGTACCTTAACCAATAGACCAAATTGGCTAGTAGATTATCAGGTAGGGTTATCTTGTGGGTCACTCCAAAATCATTAGGTGTAGTAATAAAAGTAGAGGTTTAATTTAGGCATTCACCCCTTGTGATTTCTCAAGAGAAATCCACGTAGGAAATTGTTTTCAGACTGGGTAGCTGTATTTCCGCCTCTCCCTATGGACAGTGATGTAGTTCATCCTGCCAAAAAGTAAATAAAACAACTATCTAAGACTTCAGACAACCTTAAAAATGTCTCTTTGCCAAACCAAACCGCGTTTTCATGTCATTGTGCCTGGAGGGACAACAATAGCAATAGCACTTAGACTTATATACAGCTCCACGGTGCTTTATAGCATCCTCTCAGCAGTTTACAAATGTCAGCCTCTTGCCCCCAACCATCTGGGTCCTCATGTTACCCACCTCGGAAGGATGGAAGGCTGAATCAACCTCGAGCTGGTCAGGATCGAACTGCTGGCTGTCGGCAGAATTAGCCTGCAATACTGCATTCCAGCCACTGCGCCACCACGTCTCTTTGCCTGCACAACAGGCAAAGAATACATTGCGATACAGGACGGTGTAATATTGATTTGAACGGTTGCATTTTTTGTCAGATCCGGGAAGAGATTGATAAGTTCGGAATTAAAGTTTACCAGTTTCCCGAATGTGACTCTGATGAAGATGAAGATTTCAAGCAACAAGACAGAGAACTGAAGGTGAGCAAAACAACCTAATTCTGGGACTCAAGTCTGGGTTAAATTACTTGACTTATAATTGGTTGCTTAGCAACTATTCAAAGTTACAACCTCGTGGAAAAATAGAGTTATGATCTAGTTCCAAAATTCCCACGGTCAGGCTCCGTTACGGTCATATCTCAAGGACTACCTGCGTCCTGTCACTCAGGATGGCACGCAACGATCCCTTAGCCTTAAGAGTTTTTCAGACAGTTGCAGCAATCTATGTCCTGGTGAAGAAAAATTGAGAGAATGAGATAATTAGGGGAGGGAAGCTTTATCAAAACTGGGGCCGAGGGTTACTGATGGCTGTGTCTGAAAAATCAGCCAAAATTGGATTTGCAATTTGATTCGATCCAATTAAGGACATCTGAACCGAATGGTTGAATCAGAAGGATTTGATAGATGGATAGAAAATACCGGAGAATACTTTATTGGCCAAGTGTGATTGGACACACAAGGAATTTGTCTTGTTGTAAATACTCTCAGTATACATAAAAGAAAAGCTACATTCGTCAAGAGTCAAGAATCATAACTTACAACACTTAATGATAGTCATAGGGTACAATCAGCAATCAAATCATACTAGGAAAGAGTCAGTATAAATCGTAAGGATACAAGCGCCAAAGTTACAGTCCTACAATCACAAGTGGGAGGGGATGAGGGATAGGAACGATGAGAAGACTAATAGTAATAGTAGTGCAGACTTTGTAATAGTTGGGCAGTGTTGAGGGAATTATTTGTGTAGCAGAGTGATGGCTTTCGGGGGAAAAAACTCCCCTTGTGTCTAGTGGTTCTGGTGCGCAGTGCTCTATAGCATCGTTTTGAGGGTAAGAGTTGAAACAGTTTATGTCCGGGATGTGAGGAGTCTGTAAATATTTTCACAGCCCTCTTTTTGACTTGTGCAGTATACAGGTCCTCGATTGAAGGCAGGTTGGTAGTAATTATTTTTTTCTGCAGTCCTAATTATCCTCTGAAGTCTGTGCCTGTCCTGTTGGGTTGCAGAGCCAAACCAGACAGTTATAGAGGTGCATTGATTTGAATTTCCCAATTTGCTTGGGGAAAACGTAAATACTTCTCAATTCTCAATTCTCAAGAGGGAGTCAAGCTATTCTCCAAAGCCCCTGAGGGCAGGACAAGAAGTAATGGATGGAAAATAATCAAGGAGAGAAGCAACCTAGAACCCAGGAGGGATTTCCTGACAGTCAGAACAATTAATCAGTGGAATGGCTTGCCTTCAGAAGTTGTGGGATCTCCAACGCTGGAGGTTTTTAAGAAGAGATTGATAGTCATTGTCTGAAATGGTATAGGCCAGGGTCTCTGCTCAAGCAGGGAATTGGACTAGAAGACCTCCAAGGTCCCTTCCAACTCTATTATACTTTTAATACTTCTTTTGGAAAACAATGACCTGAATAGATGCAGAAGTATCCAATCTGGGACTTATTCAATTTGGAAATTAATCCAAATTTGGGATTCCATGGGATTGGAAATAACAGATTAACAGAGTTGGGGGTGGACCTTGTAGGTCATCTAGTCTAAGACCATTTCTGACAGATAGCAATCCAGTCTCTTGAAAGCCTCCAGTGATGAAGCTCCCTTTTGCTTCCCTTTTGATCAACACGAGTTTTTAACCGACATCAATAAACATGTGACATTTGTTGCCCCAAATGTGCCCAATGTTTGCTGCCTGTTCAGAAGCGAGATCAGCCCGGTTAAACTTTCAACCAGGTCCACCTTGTAACCTTGTCTGGATTGGGCATCCAGGGAAGGCAACCTCTCTTGGTTGTGGTTCTCCTGACTTCTCATAACATTTTGTGTTTGCACCAGGAGAGTGCGCCCTTTGCGGTCATTGGTAGCAACACGGTGGTGGAAGCCAAGGGGCAGAGGGTCCGAGGAAGACTCTACCCTTGGGGCATTGTGGAAGGTAAGCTGCCTTGTTGACTTCAACACCAACTCTAGAAGCTCACAAGCTCTGTTGAACTATTTTCTTTGAAATCTAAGTGAAACTTTCAGGTTTGGAAGCAGTGAAGCTCTGAAGGCCAAAACAGCGTGAAAGTTTTAGGAGTTATGAGTTTCTGAAGTGGTCAGTTTAGGGTTAGATCCAATGCTGGTTGATCTCGGCATATTCCAGTCAGACTAGTAGATGTTCCCAGTTGTCCTTTCAGAGATATGGTGTCAACTCATAAAATATTTCTATGGTCTTTTTAGAGTTGCCAACAGAAAGGGAGGGGGAAGCAGTGTGGCAGCTTTCAAAACCGAAAGTGCATTCCATAAATGTTTTCAAAGAGAGTAACTAGGTGACTGAGGTTTCTGCCACCGCAAAATTCTAACTGGAGAGCCTGATTGATGACTCTGGGCTACGGATGTGTCCCATTGGAGAATATGAATTATGATACACCCAGGAAGTGGGGGGAGAACCAGGGTCAAGGGTGAAAATGAATGATGTGTCTCAGAGTTGGCTACACCCAGGCAGTGCCAGCATGTTAACTCCCAATAAATTCTTTTTGGGAAGTTTGGCTCGAGACTCATGATTTAAATGGGGGTAACTGCCGGAATCCTGACATATGGACTGTTGATGGATGGAGATCTATCATAGAGATAACATTGAGCGCTAAATGAGATCTCTTTCTTCATTGACTCTGTGTCTTTCCAAATGATTGGTGGACTCTCTTTAATTTATTGATGGGTTGGGTTGTTCATACCACCCAATTCCAAAAGGATGTCTTTCTCCTTCCCTAGTGGAGAACCAAGGACACTGTGACTTTGTGAAGCTACGAAACATGCTGATCCGAACCCACATGCACGACCTGAAAGACGTGACGTGCGACGTCCATTATGAGAACTATCGAGCACAGTGCATCCAACAGATGACCAGGTGACTTTCCTGACCCATCAGATCAGGAAGAAAGGAGAAGGAGGAGAAGGAAAAGGACTGCGGTCCTTGGTGCTCTCTGAGCTTGGCTCTTTTCTTGCAGATGTTTCATGACACAATTAGGTAACGTCATCAGTGTTAGTCATTGTTTGGGTCATGAAATATCTGCAAGAAAACAACTAAGCTCATAGAGCACCAAGGACTCCACAGTCCTCATCATTCTCCTCTTCCTTCTTCTCCCTCTCCTTCTCCTTTCCTCCTCCCTTTCGCACTTCTCCTCCTCCATTCCTTTCTCCTCCTCCTCCTTCTTCTCCTTCTTCCCCCTCTATCTCTCCTCCTTTCCTTCTCCTCCACCTCTTCCTCCTCCTCCTCCCTTTCCCACTCCTCCTCCTCCTCCTCCTCCTCCATTCCTTTCTCCTTCTTCTCCTTCTCCTTCTTCTCCTTCTTCTTCTTCTCCCTCTCCCTCTCCTCCTTTCCTCCTCCTCCACCTCTTCCTCCTCCTCCCTTTCCCACTCCTCCTCCTCCATTCCTTTTTCCTCCTCCTCCTCCTCTTCCTCTTCCTCCTCCTCCTCCTCCTCCACCACCACCAGCACCACCACCATCACCAAATCCCATTCCTTTCTAGAGAAGAGAAGAACTGAGGCCAATTTACAGAAGTTAAGTGTTATTCCTCCTTTTCAGCAAACTGACTCAGGACAACCGCATCGAAAGTCCCATTCCCATCTTGCCGCTTCCAACCCCGGATGCCGAAACAGAGAAGCTGATCAAGATGAAGGACGAAGAGGTAAGCTGCTGAAGATGCTGTTAAAGTCTTAAATGTGGGTAGTCCTTGAGAGTGGCGACCATCACGGAACCTGCCCGTGATGATCGTAAGTCACGACTCTTTGCCTCCATAAAAGGGAAGATCTACAGCTCAGGATTGAACTGTAGAGTCCCTGATGCTCTCTGAGCTGACTGGTTTGCTTGCAGATGTTTCCCAACTAGCTATTAGCCATCCACGATGGTGATTAGCATAACACATAGAAATTAACCCCAGGTAAACGCTATTCAAAAGAGATATTAGAAAAGCTAAGAAGGAAAGCTAGAGACCAGAACACGTCTTCTCCAGCAACCAGATAAGCAAGGATTAACACCAGACAAACCATCAAGCAGAAAACAATGCCCTCATCAAGGAACGAATAAGGAGAACGCAACATCCCAATCCACAACAGCGGAGCAACGAACTTTATGTAAATGTATTTAAACAGGGAGCAAACCCCACACTCCCTAGCGCTGATGATGTTACCTAGTCAGGTGATGAAACATGTCCAAGCAAACCACCACGCTCAGAGGTGGACACCCATAACCGATTTGCCCTCATTTGATTTGGATTTTCAGTTGATTCAGCAAATCTTCAGTTGATTCTCCATCTGGACGGAATCGACCAAGTGGCTCTTAAAAAGGATCTGATTGGAGGATGCGGTTCAATTTTGCGATGCGGCTCTGCAAACCAAGCATCGATCCTACTGCCTGTGAACCCAAAGGTGCTTTAATTTTTTTCCCTTTCTGGTTTTCCTTGGAAGACGTTTCGCTTCTACATCCAAGAAGCTTCAGATCGGAGCTGAAGCAGCTTTTCTTGGACGAGAAGCGAAACGCCTTCAAAAGAAAAACCAGAAAGTCCAGTTGCCTCTTGGGAAAAAAGAAAAAAAAAAGCACCTTTGGGACAACCAGGACTTGGAGGACTGAAAATCTCCATAGATACTGTCTGTGAATCAAATGCCCCAAAAGTATTTTTCCTTTTTTTTGCACTTCCTTAAGGAGAGCAACAGACTAGGATAGTGTGATGACCCAAAGGGGCATGGCACAAAGGCAACACAGCAGGGGTGGGATTCTACAGGTTCGCACCTATTCACTAGAACCGGCTGTTAACATTCTAAGCAGTTCGGAGAACCGGTTGTTAGAAGAAATTACTGGCCTAATCCTGTAAGGAAGGCAGGAAGGAAACATTCTGGTGTTGCTTACAGAAACTGCCTCTCCGTTAACCCTTATTACATTCTTGGCAGGACTAGACTTCCTGTCTCAGGAACTTCTCTGGAGTTTTATTTTCCCCTCGTTTGCTGGTACTTTGCTTGTGTGGAGTGACCATTCAAAGTTACAATGGCACTGAAAAAAGTGACTTATGACTATTTTTCACACTTACGACTGTTGCAGCATCCCCATAGTCATGAGAGGCCAGGCGAGGAGATGCGTGCCTCGATGTGAGTGATATTGAGTTGGCCACACCCAACCAATAACATGACCACCAAGCCATGTCCACGCAATCACATGACCACCAAGCCACACCCACCACCTAAGCCACGCCCACAGAACCGATTGTTAACATTTTTGAATCCCACCCCTGCAACACAGTCAAACAAGCAAGAAGAGTCCCTTTCATTATCTCCAACTTTGCCCCCAATGTCGGCCTCCCCTTCCGAATCGGATTCTGACAGGGGCACGACAGATTGTGTTGGCGAACCTTTTTGGCACCGAGTGCCGAAATGGAAGCGCCGGAAACTGGAAGAGCAGCTCCACGGTGTGCATGCTCGTGCCAGGAAGCTGAGCTTCCGGTTTCTGGCGCTCCCCCTCGTATGAAGAGCTGCTGGCCGGCGTGCATGCATGCACTGCAGCGCAAAAGAGCAACGGGCGACGGCTGGCGTGCCCATAGAAACGGCTCGGCGTGCCACTTCCGGCATGCACGCCATGAGGTCCACCATCACGGGACTAGGAGATGATTGGGAGGGCTTGCCCTCCAGCCGAAACCCTCAAAGTTTGGTCTTCCTTTATTTATTTATTTTTAAACAACAACAACAAAAAACGGTGACAACCCCCTCCTCCCCTCTTCCCCTCCTCTCCCTTTCCTTTATCTCGCCGCAGCTGCGAAGAATGCAGGAGATGCTACAGAAAATGCAACAGCAAATTCAAGAGCAGTGAGGAGGAGCCAGGACGAAGAGAGCGACTGTGTGTGTGTGTGTGTGTATGTGTGTGTCTGTGCACACCATGGGGTCCATCCTGCCTTGGAAAAACGCCTTCGGGAAACTTTTTCTTACGATCCCAATGCGCGAAACGAGAAGGATGTGAGCGAGAAGCACCAACGCACCTTCTCCCTCCAAGGCTGATGGTCTTGCAAGATGCCTCAAGATGGGAAGAAGATACCCCCCCCCCCCCCCCCCTCGGCCCTCTGACAGCATCCTAGTATTTAAACGAAAATTTCTGCCGGGGGTGGGCGGGGGGCAGCGGCATATGAAGTGTGAGGACTTTATGAACGTGCACGTCAATGTTTACGACTAACTACGGTGCTGTGATTTTCCTCCTCCTCCTCTTCCTCGCCTTCTTTTCCATTCCTCCCCTTCCCCTTTCTTAACACCTGCCCTTTTTGTTGGGGTAGGGTGGGGCGGATGATGACCTTCTTTCGCATATCTGAACAAAACGTTGGTGGGACTTCCTGGGCAGATTTGATTTGGCTTGGAGAACTTTTGATTCCCCCGCCTAATTTGAGATAAGGAGCAGAAAGTTGACTGTGCTGAGGTCAAGGTGTTCGTTGGAAGGTTCCCGGTTGATTCTCCACCCTGCTCTAATTCTCTTGAGAAATACTTTCTGGACAGGGTGGAGGAAGCTGTGGACTAAATTTTGTGGGTCAGAATGCAAAGTTTTGTGCATCAAGACTCAGAGTGCAACATTTGGAGAGTCTTTAGGTGGCCTATCTCTCCCTAGTTGGCTGAATTTTCCAAGCTTTGCACCTGTACTTTAAGATTTTGCCTTGTCTTTGCATGCAAATCTATATTTCCCTTCTTGCTGAACACAGATAAAAACGGGATCCATCGTTAAAGATCTATGTCGATTCCTAAGTTGCTTGGTGGATTCTTTGCAGGGTGTCCCAATTTCCACTGAGCAGAAACAAAACCTGAACCCAAAGTTTCTTTTGGGGGGCTCCCTTGGAGTTCAGTCATTTTTTTTCTTTCTTTCAATGCAAAAATACTTCCCTGTATGAGAAGCTTGGTTTGTTGGTGCATTGTGGGTTTTGTAGTCTTCCCCCTCCAAATAATTTTATGAAGAAGCTTAAATTAAATAAAAGCAAGCACCAAGGGTAAGGAATACAAAGAGCAAAACATGAAAAGAAACCAAGTGAGCCAAAGAAAGGGGAAAAAAAAGAAAGAGTAACTTCCCCATCACCCCAGCAAGTAAAAAATTTAAATTAATTCATAGCTTATCAGCCTCTCAAATACAACCTCACCTCTCTCCTCCTTCCCCTTAATTCATTAAGAAAGAAACTCAGTGCAGAAAAGAAAGGAAAAACAGAAAAAGAATAACTGCCCCATCATCCTAGCAAGTTAAAAATAAAATTAACAGCCTGTCAGCATCTCTAAATATAACCTAATCTCCCCCTCTCCATAGTTCAACTCTTAAGGGCGGAAAAGTAAAACCAGAACAAAGTTATTAAGCTTCATCCGATGTTCCTTGCCAGCCAAAAAAAAAAAAATCCAACAAGGGAATTCAATTTGAATTCTTTTCTTCCATGGCTGTGCAATCCAGAAAGTGAAGCAGCTGCTTTGAAAGGTTGCCAAGAGGCTGTGTTAATCTCCCTACATCCCTGAACGTCCCATTTTGCTTTAAATCTGAAATACTAGGAACTTTCTCTCCTTCCTCCTATTCTCCCCCCGCCTTTTTTTTCCCTTGCTAACCTGGTGCTGCAAAGCCTTTTCTTGGCTTTCTGTTTTTGTTGTGTGTGTGTGTATATGTGTGTGTGTGTGTCGTTTTTAAAGCAAGAGGAAATGATAACACTTCAGCCTGTTGAATTGAGATAAAGATCCCCTCTCTATACCCAGCAATGCACATACCCAGCTGGATGCTTTTTTAAAAAAAAAAACCGTAGTTTTGTGCCCTCTTGACAAAAGATACACTTATTTTTCCTCACACCAACTAACTACTCTAAAATAAGAAAGTAAGGCACTCATACTCCCACACCTTCACCAAACTGTGTTACACTCGGCATTTCACAATGTTCCCCCCCAAAAAAATCCAAATATAATTTGATTCCCTTGTCGGTCCACCCAAAACGCCATCAATAATAACAAGACTTCCCGTCTCTTTAGAAGTTAAAATTCGTCTTTTTTTGGGGGGGGGGGAGGTTTCTGAGCTGCTCTAAAATTCACATTTTTTTCCTTTGGTGTGAAAGAAAGCGAAGTGGTTCTCAGCCCAGTCCCCCAAGTTGGCAGCTGTAATCATGGTTTAAAACCGGCTTGGTTGCCAATTCAACCCAAGGTATTTGGTTAGAAGAAGGCTAAGCTGGAGACTTCAGGGAGTTGAAGTCCACACTTCTTCTCCAAGCTGCCAAGGTTAAAGAAACCCTGGTTGAAACCCAAATCGTACAAAAACTGCATCAGTGTGTGTGTATCTTTCTGTGTGTGTGTGTGAGTCCCTAGGTACGTTGCGCTTTCAAGGGGAGTGTGTATGAAGCCTAACTCTGTGCTTATGTGCTGATGTGCACCCAGGATTTCCTGGCCCCACTTCGCATGCCTTTATTTATTGGTTTTCCTAGAAAGAAAGTGTCGTGGTGGGGGATATTCTTCGTGGCATGGATGGTTTGTGGGGGGAGGCTGCTCCTTCCCCAGCCCCCACCCCATGGGACCTCTCCCTTCCATTCCAAATTCTGACTCTGCCTTCTGTCGCGTTGCGTCTGGCTTTCCTCGGTGCATCGTTCCGATTTTTGTAAATATTCGGTGGGATATTTCGTCGTGGTGATGCGAGACCTTTTAAAATATATCTGTTTTATTAAAAATGAGGATGGCGATTGGAATATATTAATATAATGTTTGCTACGACCTTGAACAGATCGAAAGAAGTAAAGGAGAAAAAGCGGAAAACGAGTTGCATCTGGAGAACTGATTTTTTTATTTTTTTAATGTTGCCTTTCAAATGCAATTGGGAGAAAAACTCACAACGCCTTCAGCAAAGCAGAAGGAGAAAAGAATGGGTGGGGATCGTGGTCTATTCCTGTTGGTGCCCCATCCTTTTAGGGGATAGAACGGTCATTCGTATGAAAAGTTTCACGATGAAGAACTTGGGGTTTACAGGTAGCCCTTAGACTTGTATACCGCTTCTCAGAACTTTACAGGCCTCTCTAAGCGGTTTTACAGAGTCAGCCTCTTGCCCCACAACCATCTGGGTCCTCGTTTTACCAACTTCGGAAGAATGGAAGGCTGAGTCAACCTTGAGCCGGTCAGGATTGAACTCCCGGCTGTGGGCAGAGTCAGCATGCAGTGCTGCATTCTAATCATTGTGCACCATGGATGGATGGATGGATGGATGGGAAGGGAAGGGAAGGGAAGGGAAGGGAAGGGAGGGAGGGAGGGAGGGAGGAAGGAAGGAAGGAAGGAAGGCCACTTGCAATAGCAATACCCCTTAGACTTGTATACCGCTTCTCAGAACTTTACAGCCCCCTCTAAGCGGTTTTACAGAGTCAGCCTCTTGCCCCCCAACCATCTGGGTCCTCGTTTTACCCACCTCGGAAGGATGGAAGGCTGTGTCGACCTTGAGATGGTCAGGATCTAACTCCAGGCTGTGGGCAGAATTAGCCTGCCATACTGCATTCTAACCACTAGGCCACCACAGCTCTTATAGGGGCCAGTTATCATTTCCGTGGCATGTTTTGTCACAGGACGTGGCCCATTTTTGCTCTTCCTCCAGGGCAGATTCTAATCTGGGCTCTCAGCTCCTGGGTGTCTACGAGAGGAAGCGTTTGGCTGTTTGTGGCCAGAACGTTTTTTCCCAATCTGGTGACAACACATTGTGAATTTGTCCTTTTCTGGTTTGAGGTTGGTCATTGAAGGGGATGCTGTTTCACATTGGCGGGGAGTGTCTCTACACTTCACTTAAGAGGACATCATAACAGAAGACTTGGAAGGGACTTTGGAGGTCTTCTAGTCCAACCCTCCCTGCTCAAGCAGGAGATCCTGTACTAGTCCAGACAAACGGTTGTCCAATCTCTTCTTGAAGGCCTCCAGTGATGGAGCATCTACAACTTCTGGAGGCCAGCCTTTCTGCTGATTAATTGTTCTCACTGTCTGGAAATGTCTCCTTGTTTATTCATTGGGTTAGTTGGTTTCCACCCATCCTGTATTTCAGGAGGTCCAGGGGTTTCCTTCTGCTATTCCCCCCCCCGCCCCCCGTTGAATGACAACCCTATGAATGGGGGAAGAACTCACCCCAAGTTCCCCAGGAATCTTTTGTGGTTGAGGGTGGTTGGAACCTGGGTCTCTCCATCCTTGTCCACCTTCACCAACACCTCAGACTGTACGGGAACTACCCTGTTTTCCCCGAAAATACGACCTACCCTGAAAGTAAGTCCTAGCTTGATTTTTACATGTGCGCCCAATATAAGCCTTACCCCCCAATATAAGCCCTAATTAAGACCCTGCCCACTCCAGAGTACACAGATAAAAATTAAGCTAGGTTGGGGATGAGGAGGTGAAGCTGCCCTACTACTTACCTTTGGACAGTTGTAGCCAGGCCTTGCACACCCTGACAGCTGCCTTGCCGGCCCATTTCTTCTGCAACTGGCAAGGCTTTGCTGAAGGCCTCTGGAGCTAATAACAAAGTTCTGGATCGATCCAGAGCTCCGTGGTTGACTGCAGAGACCTTCAGGAAGCCTTGCCAGCTGCAGCAGAAGTTCCTGAAAGCCTCCTGACAGGGAAAAGGAGGCTGGGGGCGATGCACACAAGTGAGGCTCGTCAGTGGGTGTCTCCCCCCGAAAATAAGACCTGGTGTCTTTTGGGGTGGCAAAAAAAAATTATAAGACAGGGTCTTATTTTTGGGGAAAACACAGTATCTCCCATCATTATCCAGAGAACTTCCATGCTCGAAGGAGAACCAGAACCTGGGTCTTCTCCTGGTCCAGCACCTTCTCTACTGGACCACCTGGCTCTTGCCTTCAAAATAAGGGACTGACCCAAAGTTCTCCCGCTATAGGGTTGACCAACTGGATCCTCCTTTCCTAGTCCAGCCCCTTCATCCCTGGAGTATTGAACCTCTTGGGATGAAAAGGAGAAACTATTTGAAGTCCCCCAGGAAGACTTTAGATTGGACGGTGGACCAGAACCTCAATTCCTTCATTCTTGGTTCAGCTGCTTCACCGCTGAACCATTCTGCCTCCTGGGCTGAGAAGGAGGAACCGGCCCCGTATCTCCCAGGGAAATTATATGGCAAGTGGTCCCCAACTTTTGTGGCTTGGCAGCTCAGATAGGATGGTGAGGAGAGAAGGAACTGAGCCATGTGAGTGGTAGGCGAGCACATGCATGCACAAGCAGCCCTTGCATGACCAGTGGGCCGGCCCACATGCAAACGCCTGCCACTCGTGCAAGTTGAGCTATGTGCATGTATGCACATGTTCTGGCCAGCCACTTGTGGCCCAATTCCGAATAGGCCACGGCACAGTTGGGAACCCCTGTTTTATGGTGAAAAGGGGGGGTTCCAGAACCTTGGGTCTCCCCATTCCTAATCCAGAATCTTCCACCATGGACCATCCTGGCTTTGGGGCTGAGAGAAAGGGACTGGCTCAAAGCATTGGAGAGAACCAACTTCTGGATCTAATGGTGGACTTGAACCTTATTATTCCTCATCCAGTACTTTCACCACTACACCCCACTGCCTGTTTTTTGTAACTCATACTGAAACAATTACTAACCCATATACTCTACTATTAAGTTTATTAATGATTGCTCAAAATCAAGTTTTTGATTTTTTCACCCTTCTCTTCTGCGCAATCTATCTATTGCTCTGGTACTGTCTACCCATCCATTTTTGGGTCTTTGGTTATCTGTAAGACTAAACTCATGAACATCTGGTTACCATACAAAGTGTCATTTTAGACGGACCTTTTGAGCTTCTTGGATTCGTTACTAGGGTTTGCCCATCGTACTAAACCACAATGTAAAGATAGTTGGGCCAATCACCGAATTGGATTGGAATCAAACACTGTAAACATGGTTTGCAAGCTATAATAGCTGGATATAGCTGGGTGTGATGATTTAATAAGCAAAGACGTCTATGTCATGGAAATCTTAGGGGTCTGTGGGCACAGGATCAAACTCTAAGATTCTTAAATTTCCACCTGAGATACAGTGGAATTTCCTCCTCAATATTTGCAGAATTGTGTTAGCAAGCCCATGACAATGATGGAACCTTAACCACATTTCCAGAAGCCATTAAACCGGGTTAGTTTGAACCCGGTTAGCACCTTTTAGGGTTGTCTCGTTCTATGCCAGGTTGCTCTATGGGTCAATGACCTGCATGCACTTAGGAAGTTGTCGAATCAATTCAATCATGAAGCGAGCAAACCAGGACGTTACACAATTCCTGGACTCCATCAATAGGGCTTGTTACAAGTCCAACATTGCTTGCATTCAAGCCTTTTTTTTTGAAAGGAGATGTTCAAGAGATGTCAGCTTGGGGGGAAAAAAATAAAAAGGCCTCATCAGGGATTTCCAGAGAATGACTAAGGAGAACGAGAATCCCTCTTATCTTGCTGAAACACACATGGAGGTTATCAACGCTACTTCTGCTGCTGTTGGCTTCCACCAGCCAGTTGTCCTTCACGTCTCATTCCAAAGAGAGACGCTACATAACAGAGAGGTAAGTCCTCAACTGGTTTTCTCTTTCACTTATACAGCAATTTTGCCCACCAGGTCAAATGAGTGGTTTACCTTGACCATTTGAGGAGATCATCAGAAGACCTTCAGCCTGTTAAAGGGAGAAACATCTTTCCAACTCTGTGTGTCTTTCATTTAGGAGAGGGGGGTCTTCAAACTTGACAGCTTTAAGACATGTGGATTTCAGCTCCCAGAATTCCTCCTCCACTCATTTTAGCTCGGGAATTCTGGGAGTTGAAGCCCACAGGTCTTAAAGCTGTCAAGTTTGAAGACCCTTG